AATCTTAGAACTTACATATTTTGTTTGATGAGTTCTAAGCCAATGCCACCTCTACTGTTAAAATTATATATATATATATATATATATATATATATATATATATATATATATATATATATATATATATATATATATATATATATATATATATATATATATATATATATATATATATATATATATATATATATATATATATATATATATATATATATATATATATATATATATATATATATATATATATATATATATTGAATGTAGACATCATGTATGAGAGTATGTAAATTATTATTTTATAAACATCAATAAGTACGATTTTCTTTCAATACTAAATTTATTTTTTATTTTTTGTTTGTTTTATGATTTTGTTTGTTTTAAAAATTTGATTTTTAAAAAAATAATTTTTTTTGTTTTATGATTTTGTTTGTTTTAAAAAACAAACAAAATCTTTTAAGCTGAAGACGCTGATCACAACAATCCAGCGAAAATTTCTTTTAAAAAATAAAAAATAAAAAATAAATTTAGTATTGAGAGAAAATCGTATTTATTGATGTTTATAAAATAATAATAATAATAATAATAATAATAATAATAATAATAATAATATATATATATATATATATATATATATATATATATATATATATATATATATATATATATATATATATATATATATATACATATATATATATATATATATATATATATATATATATATATATATGTATATATATATATATATATATATATATATATATGTATATATAAATCACACATATATATATATATATATAAATATATATATATATATATATATATATATATATATATATATATATATATATATATATATATATATATATATATATATATACATATATATATATATGTATATATATATATATATATATATATATATATACATATATATATATATATATATATATATATGTATATATATATATATATATATATATATATATATATATATATATATATATATATATATATATATATTTTATATATATACATAAAAATAATAAAATCAAAATGATGTATTACCTGTATAAACATGGAGACAAATCACTACATTCTTTAAAATCATATCTAAACAGAAAATTATTGAATAATAGTATCACTGCAAACATTAGAGTTAACTTGCATCAAAATTCCTTTTAAAGGAAGTTATATAAAGTTTGTACAAATTAGTAGAAATTAAACTGACAAAAAGTCGTTCTGAGTCTGTTGTGAAATAATGTTCATTAAGATTATTGTCATATTAACTATCATTACCTCGAACAGGAAAATTTTCTCTTGCATTGTCATCACCATTTCCATATACATTGTCGTTATAACAAATACTTTAACAATCATTAGAAACATTACTGGATTACAAATTAATTTTTTGATCACAACTTTCAACATAAATTTCTTTCATATCTTCATCAGCTTGCTTTTTAACTTTTCTACTATTTGTTATATATGAAGCAGCGATCTAAATTATTAGTGAAATAAAACTTAGTATCGGTTGCAAAATAACTCATTAAATTTGTTTTAGATTAGCAGTGGACCTATATAGGCATTTTTTGACTGCTTATTGGAGTTTTGCTCATGAGTCACTTAGTAGTGGACCATTAGTGGCATCCGCATTAAATAAATTAAAGATCCGCCGATAACTTTCCGATATGTTAATAGTTGTTTGTCATCGGCCTACCACTTTTGTTGGCTTCCACTAATCGTCCACTAAGTAACTGTTGAGCGAAACTACAGTGGTCCGCTCAAAATGATTATATAGGTCCAATGAAATTCTGCTATAATGTTAGCTAGGAATGTTATATTTTTATTTTTTTTTATATTACATAACTTATATTTTTAGTAGCATAACATTATTTTTTGATATTAATACTATTTAATTCTATATAATTAACTTTTATTTAATTTTATTATGATATTGAATATATATAAAAAAAAAAGACTTAAAACCATCCAATCATTAGACAGTTAATTATTTAAAGTTCTTTAAAGATATTTTATATTTATATCAGATGCTTCAATCAGTTTAAATATCAGTTCAATAAAACTCAGTTCAATAAAAATGATAATAAAAAATAATAATATAAATAAATCAGTTCAACAAAAATTATATTAAAAAATAATAAAGTATAATGATTTTGACTTAGAAAAAAATATCTTGCAAAATAAAATAAAAGTATTTGAGCATAAAAGGTAGTCTTGATGCAAGATATGGTAGCTTTATAAAAGCCTTATAGGCTTATACACTCATATATATATATATATATATATATATATATATATATATATATATATATATATATATATATATATATATATATATATATATATATATATATATATATATTTATATAAATTTTTTTTAGATGGCAAAAGTTGTAATGGCACCCCCCCACGTGACCCCTACTCGCGCCGGCCCTGTATATATATATATATATATATATATATATATATATATATATATATATATACATATATATATATATATATATATATATATATATATATATATATATATATATATATATATATATTATCATTACATTATATTATATTTTATATACATATATATATTATTTACATTATATTATATTTTATATACATATATACCTATATTATTATATTATATTTTATATACATATATATATATTATTATATTATATTATATATATATATATATATATATATATATATATATATATATATATATATATATATATATATATATATATATATATATATATATATATATATATATATATATATATATATATATATATATATATATATATATATATATATATATATCTCTGTGTGTGTGTGTGTGTTAATTTATATTGGTTAACCAATATAAATAAAGTAGTAGTTAAACATATAAACACTGTATATGAAATATCTATTTCTTTTATTGATACTATTAAGTAATTTTAATACACTTTACTATTAACTAATTACACTAAATTTAAGTTTAATATTTTTTAGCACTAGAGGTCTTTCAAAAAATCACTACTGATGATTTTTTGAAAGGCTTTAAGTGCTAAAAAATATTGAACTTAAATTTAGTTTGAGTTTAACATCTTGAAGATGTTAAACTCAAACAAATGAAGCAAATGCTGGAATTATTGAAGATGATCTTCATAAATTCCAGCATTTGCTTCAAAGCACTTATTCATTTGCACGACAGCTGCTCAAAAGAAGTTGGATAATATGTGCATAAATATATATTTTTCAAAGAATATATGAGTTATGGTCTTTATACTATTTTTAATTTGATTATAAACTCAAAAACAACAAAACTATTTAATAAAAAAAAACTGTGCTAAAATAAAATAACAGGATTCAAAAATGGCCGAAAACTATTTCAACATTAAAACCTGTAAAACACTATACGCATTCTAAAATCAGTTGTATTACGACGTTGGCCAACGTATGCGTGCTAGCTGGGAAAGTACTCCAGATACTAAAAAAAAAATTTTAACTTACTGGTTGAATGACAACTAATATTTTTGAGAATATATGAGAAAGCGTTGCTCAGTACTTTCGTTATTTTAAGAATATGTGAGAACACGTTGCTCAGTACTTTCGCTATTTTGAGAATATGTGAGAACATGTTGCTCAATACTTTCATTATTTTGTATAAATAAGTTGATTAAGATAACTTAAAAATTGTTAGTATTTTTGACATCCACATATTTTTATCCTAGTCTGGGATAAAGCTACATCTATAAATATTTTATCGGTGTTTAATTCCATTGGACTTTGATAAATATATTTACAAATAAAGATAATTTATCGTCTTATTTAATAGATCAAGTAGAGAATGCTAAAGTAAATATTCTAAAAACATTTCCTAGTAGAAACAACCTTTTTGTCATTTAAATTTTGATTAAACGACTCAAACTGCTGATCTTAGCATGAACATGTAAATTTCTCTATCCATTTCGAACATTTGAGAGAATTAAAAAAAAATATCTTAATGCAATAATGTTGGAAGAATTGATGCAGAACTTGTCTCAACTTATTTAAAACAACAAGTAATTATGGAATCGTGGGTCTCCACTCAATAAATTTACCTGTTTCATAGAGCATCTTCATGGAAATCAAACACTAATATTTGAGGAGTGGACTTGCAAAACCAGATAATTCACTTTTTTTTTAAAAAGACTTAACAATGTTTTTTTGTAGTACTAATATTCCTACATCTTTACAAATAAAAATTAAACTTAAAAGCAACTATTTGAATAACATTTTACCAGCCTTTAATTATTCTGTCCGTGCAAAACCAGATAAAAAAAATATTATCGGTGCAAAGTTTTTATCTAATCAACTTTCTGTTTTATAAACATTTTATAAAAATGAAGGATGTTGTTTAAGAAAAAAATTATATGCACAAAAATTCACTAAAATCACAAAAGCCACATTTAAACAGTTACAATTGAGTTTTATTTTCATCAATCCTATAAAAGTATCAAACATTAAAATTACTTATTTTCTAAGGCAGAAGGGTATTTTGCACAATTATATCGATTATTCAAGTCGTCACTAGTCAAGTTGACTTCATAAAGCTTGTTTGAAAATCAGTTAGAAATAAATTTCCGATCAAAACCAGATAAGAAAAATAACTGGCAAACAAGATAAAACATTTTTTCATTCTGTTATAAAAATAAAATCAAAAGAGCACAATTTTTAAATTTTTGTCTTAAACATTCTTTTCATGATATCTATTGTTTAGCTTTTAATTTTTAGCTATTCGATTTACTGGGTAAGCGAAAGATACTATGACTCAAAATGAGGTTTTGATTTTTTTGTCTAACAAACAATAAATACTCTTGGGTGTACTTTTTTTTATTTCATACTTATTTCCTAAAAAATGATTATTTCTTGACGGAATTATTATACCGGTAATATTAAAAAAAAAAAAAAAAAAAATTTGACGGGAAATATAAACAGATCTTTGCCGTCTGCATTATTTATTCGTATTTTGTTGACATACATGCATTTTATTTATGCATATTTATATATCTTTGGCTAATATAGATAATTTATTTTAGCAGATATATGTTTTATAGTATATACTATATGCTTTAACAGTTATATACTGTATAGATGATTTAGTTGTATACATATTTTTAGTATGTTCTTGGACAATATACGTTTTAAAATTGATGACTGTTAAGTTTCAAATATTTATTGTATTTATTGTATAAGAAATCAAGATTCAATCAAGTAAAAGTAATGTTTGCTTTAGTTGCTGACTATAAATCTTCTGAAAGCAGTTCCAGCTCTGAAAATGAAGAAATTGAACGTCCTACCAAGTTACCACTTCCTTCTTTATCTGATCTTGTAGGTGAAAAAAGTTCTTATACTGACCTTCAAAAAAGAAAACTTATAAACAACTCAGTGTACATGAACCCATATTTGAAAGCAGAAGAGGAAAGTTTGTCTAAGCTTTCAAAACACAGACCTTTAGTAGATATAAAACCAGAAGTTAAGAAAGAGAAACATTTTTCAAAGAAGAAAAACAAACTAAAGTTGTGTGCTTATTTTTTCAAACACGGAACTTGTAAGTTTGCAGATCAATGTAAATTTTTACACAGCTTACAAAATAATTTAGAAACAGAAAAAAATAAAGCAAGTTTTCCTGAAGCATCCCTGTCAAAAGAAACCACAGTTTCTAAGAAGTCTATAGAAAGATCATCAAAAATTAAAAACATAGCATTTTTGGAGAACGCTGAGTTAGCAAAGGTTACCAATATATCTGAAACAGATGATTCTATATGGGAAAATAAAAAAATACACACAAAAAAAAGAGTTGGACTGACAGATAATATTGTTCCACCAAAAAAAGCTTTAAAGGCATATAAAATGACTCAACAATAGTTTCTGAATTATTTTTTTAGTTTTGTTTAAAATCAAAAAGTTGGTTAATAAGTATTTATGATTTTAACAAAAAAAAAAATTTCTATAAATAATTATCGTAAAATTCATATATTCATGTTTCGTGTTGTTCTTCTATATTTGAATTCAGTTTTTAATTAAGTCTTTGTAAGTAAATGAGATAAAAAAAAATATTTACTTGATATATAGATTGTTTATAAATGTGTTTTTATATATATTTACTGTTTTTATCATTTTACTTCATTTATATTTTTGTTTTGTTTTATCATCTAAATTATTTAGGTATACATTGAGTGGTTTAGTCGTAGATACAGTGGAGTTTAAATACATAGATTGATAGTTTTAGTTATCGCAGGCAATCAGAATTCAGAATTTTTCATTTTATGAAATATAGTGCACAAAAAATATAGTATACATATTATCCATTGTATGTATGTATATACGATGTAAGTATGCATTAAATAAATGTATATATGTATAAATTGGATAATATGTAGATTGGATGCAATTTTCTTATTTATTTTCTGTACTTTAATTCTTAAGATAAAAAATTCTGAATTCTGACTGTAAATATATATACAATCAATAATCTTTGCATACTTAGCCTTGAATAAAATGTCATTAATACATACATTTACCAGAATTCTGATATATATATATATATATATATATATATATATATATATATATATATATATATATATATATATATATAGATATATATATATATATAGTATATATGTAAAGAAAAAATGAATAGAATAAAAAACTATATTTTCTTTTAAATTTATTTTACTGATAAATAGGTATATGAATGCCCTACTGAAACCTACTATTTAATGAATTCTGAGGGCTGATATATACTTATATATATATATTTTTTTTTATAATTGTGTTATTTAAGTACAAATGTAAGTTTAATTAAGTTTTTGCTACTTTAGCTTTAAGTTGTGAATTTTACATAAGCTTAATAAGCTTGGGGTGGGTGGGAAAATTTTCCAAAAATTAATAAACATCCCCCCCTCTCTTTTATTAGGGACTATAAGAGTAATATGTATATGTATGTATGTATATATATATATATATATATATATATATATATATATATATATATATATATATATATATATATATATATATACACACACACACATACATTTATATATATTAGGGTTATGACTTTTTTATGACCTTATGTTCCTTGGTCATCAATCAATTAATATTTGTACAAATTAATGAAAAAAATATTAATTTTATTTTTTTGTTTTAAAAGGTCACCCACAAACCAAAAATTCAAATTTACCAGATATGCCTATAGATAAAATTTTAAACAGTTTAATCGTTATTTTTTAATTTTAACTTTTAATTGGAGAGTTATTATGTAGTTTTTAAGCATTTAACACTTTATTGTTACATCTTATCACTCTAAATTACAAGTAATATAAAATTACAAACTTAAATAACAATTCTACAACCACGAAAAACTACTGTATATATCAAAAAAATGTTATATAGTATTCAGCTTGATTAAAGCGTTATATAGAATTCTTATTCTTTGTTAGATAAAATAAATCTAAACTGGATATCCTCTTTCTTTTTACAGATGTCAAAAAGATCTTGAAGACACTTGATTGCTTGCTCTGCACACTGATTTGTTCTGGGAATTTCCAGTCTCGATAGTTCTCAAGTCTAAAAACTTTATCACGCTTTTTTGTGGCCATGTAAAGGTCCTAGAAAGCTTCCAATAATCATCTGCATTGTACATTTGGTCAATAAATTAATGATCTGCCCATCTTTAAAAGATGAATCTGCAAATTTCGAGTAGTGAGTCTCTTCTCTCTGGCAGAAGAATAAATTCCAAAAGAGTTAGTATTGCTCAGGAATTCCATCTTGTATTATTTAGTTTCGATATTTTCTGAAATTTTACTTTAGGAAGTACTCCAGATTCTTCAAAAAAGGGGAATACTTGAGTTCAATGAAATAAAAATTTTACATCATCATGCCATCCTGCTGTTTCAACTCTTTACCATGCTTGAAATTCTTTCTGAACTGTTTATAGTTCTTTACAAGTTTTAGGATAAACAGATATTTGATATTGGGCAACATGTTGTTTCCTTTAAATTCTTCATCCATTACTACACGAAGGACTTAGTCAAGAATATGATGTTGACAACAAATAAATTGTGTTTCTTTCAGTTTCTTTTTAGTAAAACATTTTTGTAACAATCTAACAATCCCATTCCTTCTTCCAGTGTTTACATTTGTAGTGTCTACTACAATCATCTTTATACTCTTCCATACATTTTATTTGTTGAGCTTTTTTTTTTTTATTCTGATTCACTCCCAACAAGGTTGAAAGCAACCACAAATTGGGAGTTACTAGAAAAAAATGATAGAGTTATAGAGCAAGGAAACGGTTGACAGACTTAAAAAAATGAAGGCTGTATGAGTCAGGAAAATATGAAAATGGGAGAGAGTTCCAAAAGGTTGAGGTGCAGTGAAAAAAACTAGATGATTAAAAGTTTTTAGAGCATGCAGGGACAGCTACAGTAAAAGAATGAAACTTTGCTGAATGACGAATCAATGGAGAAGGAGTTTTTGTTGATGGAACTAGAGATGATAGTTCCTTTGAGCAGTGACCATGATAGTATTTGTAGAAAAGAGAAAGAGGTGCAAATTTATGAAAAAGGGAAAGAGGCTAAGGCAGATAAAGCAGGTTCAACTACATTTACAATGCGTTTTTGGACTTTGTCTAGAATAGAAAGAGTTTAAAAAATTAGAAAAACCAGCCCAATATGACAACAGTATTCCATACAGGGATGAATAAGAGATTTGTAGAGGTAGAGAATGGATTCAGAAGATGCTAATTCAGCAGTTGATTGTATATATGGTTTCCATGAAAGATCAGTTGTAAACAATAATCCAAGAAGAATTAAAGAAGAGGACTCAGTGAAAGGGTGTTATACCTTTCACAACAATATCTGCTTTTTTATCTGGTAGATCTAGTGCTTTAACAATCTAGTGGTATTCTTGGTGGCTAATAGGTTTACTATCAAAGTACAGTGACCAATTTCTAAATGTAGTATTTCCTTCATTTCTTTTTTAAGTTTAACAGCTTCTTTAACAGTAAGATCTGAATATAACAGACTGTGAAGGTATCTGAATGTCAATCTCATCTTGAGATAACTGTTGACAATGTTTGCTGATTTGCTGGTTGATAACTTGGGAGGTGTTACTAATTTAATTGCAGTTTTGGTTTTGCTGTTCTCACATGTACTTGTGAACTGTTTTTCTGAATCTTCTAACTCTTGATATTCTGCTCCAGAAGTTGACATTGTTGCTATTGTTGCTACTGTTGTTGAAGTATGCTTCAAGGACATTTTTCTTGTTTTGGATGGGTAGATGGTTTTTGAACTAGCCTTCCTAGTTGTATACTCGACCTGTCTTTTGCTTTCAGTCTGAAGATCCAATCTTTTGTCCTCTTTGCAAAATCATTCACCTTTTTTTTTTGTGGTGTCAAAAACTTCATTCGATGGATTGTATTTTTATTGTTTTACACATTTATTGTACATCTTCAGCACTTAATCCACTTTTTCCTGTATGACTTAAATTGATAAATGTAGAAAATTTAATTTCTTTTGTCATAAACTTGTTACTTCTTTATCAATTTAGTCTGTGCATTCTTATCTCCTATTTATAGATTCCCCTGAAACATACAGCAACCAACAATTTGGATTTTGAGTAGTATCCTGCTGTTATCATCCAGTGAATGTTTTTCTTGTAAAAACAGTTTTCTATGTTTTTCTTTTCCTATGTGACTCATGAAATTATACGAGATTCTTCATCCAGATTGTATTGTTTCTTTCAGTAGTGGAAGCACTTTTCTTATAGGACATTATTTCTAAAAGGCAATAATAATAAATATAAGCGCTAATGTAATTCTATAATATTTAAATGTATATAGGCAAATATAGATTCATATATAATTATTAGTGTTGCTCAATCAGACAGCTTATATAGTCTAAATTTTGCCAAAAAATCCTAAAAAATTTCAGAAATTTCTAATGAGAAAAGTTTCAGAGATTATATAGAACAGAAAATTCTAGAAAGTTCAAGAAATTTCTATGAATTCTAGAAGGTTCAAGAAAATTTTAGGCTTAAAAAAGTCATAAACTACTTGCAAATACTACTTGTATACCATTTTAAAAATTTTGTGTTGTGGGTGAAAAGTTAATCAAAATAAAACCCATTTTCAGTACTTTTGAGCAAGTTCATCGATTAATGATAGAAAAATAACTATTATACAAAAAGTTAAAATTTGAAAAACCCTGATATATATACTTACATATATTTAGGTATCAGATTTAAGTAAGATGTGTATAAATTGTGTAGAAGCAGCATTTCCTGAAAGAGGAAAAACTTGTTTAGATGGTGGTTCTTATCTTCTTAATTTTAAAGGTAAAACGTTTTTGTAATAATTTTTTATTATTTAACAATATTGCCATTTTTTGATAAAAGTTCCCTTATTATAAAAAAATGACATTGAAGTCTACACAGTTTATTTATATTATTTTTTTTTTATTTTAATTTTTAAAAAGGTTGCTTTGAATGTGGAAAACGTGAAATGGTTCAAGTTGTTGAAAAGAAATACAAGTCAGATAGTGAAGACAAAGAAACTGTGAAGTATTCACATCAATGTTTCTGTGGTCATTATATTGCTGGCCATAAGTATAAATTTGAAGTGACACCAAATTTTGAACAAGAATATGAAATGAATTGCCTACTTTGTGGAGTTGGAGAGAACACTGTTGAAGCTTTCCAACCAAAGCAATGTGACAATTTATAAATTTAACTTTTTTCTCATAATTTTGTGTTTATCTTAATTGTTTAGCTTTGGAAAGGTTCGAAATTTTTTTATCAAAATTTTATTTGCTTATTGGTGAGTTTTGAATGAGATAAACGGAGGGTTTTGATCAAGTTTAAAAAAAAATATTTAACACTAGTTATGTTTAAAGAACAATTTATTTTGTAAAAAATTAAAGGTATCTTTATTTTTAAGTTTCAGAAAAATGGAAAAAAGGTTTCATAGTTTTTTTTATTTATCTGTTGGCAATCATACATGATTTTCACATCTGTCATTTGATTGGCCATTTTTTCAATGATAGTGTAGATTGAAATTTAGCAAAAGTAAGTTGTCTCATTAAATTTGACAGATGTTTGAAGGCTCTTACAGGTTGAACGTTTGTAAAAACTTTTAACTCTTTAGTTGATAAACATAGGTTTTATTTAAAATAGGTTTAGATTACTATAAAATGTTTTAAATAAAGAAAAAATTTTTCATGTTTTTTTTGAGGTGCTGCTTCTTGTAATTTGGCGTTGTGAAAAGCTTTTTCTATTAAATTGCCAGGGTAATCACAATCCTTTGAATATATTTTCTTTTAAATGTTGCATTTCAGTGAGGTAACCATGTGCAAAAATAATTATTCTTTTTAGAAGGTTGTATGGAATGTTTCTTTTAATGTGATCAGGATGATGGTTATTATTAGATTTTTTTTCTAGAATACATTGTGATATATTTTAAAAAATAACAGATATCTCTAGAACTAATTACATTTTAGATATTTTCTTTTTTTATTAATTCGTTGCCATAGTCTATTGTAAAACTAATTGAATCATTCAGCTCTGCAAGTGAAATTTTGAACTTGTTGATATCTAAATAAAAGATGCAGGTTCTATGTTCTATGAACAAATACTATTCTGATTTATTCTTTTTGGAATCTTTCCATAAAATCCCAATCATCTTTTTTATAAGTCTTTTGTTCCCATTTCAATAAAAAGAGAACTGGGTTGTTGCACTTTTTTAATACTTAACATTTATAGATTTTAAGAATTATATAAAAATTGAGTTCTATTTAAATTTTGTAATCTAGTCAATATCATTTTGCGACACTTAGGTTGGTCTATTATTTTTTAGGTTGGTCTATCATTTTTTTAAGATGTGTTAGACACTTAGTTGGTCATTTTTATAAGATTTCTGAAAACTAATTTATCAATCTCTGTGTTGATGAAAGATATATTTTATAATAGAAATGTTTTATATAATAGCATTACTGATGATTTTATCAAGAAAAATTAAAACTTTAGTATGAAATGTATAAGTTTAAAAAAAATTTATTATAGAATTTTTTTTTTTAGTTTTTCGATAAAAACTAATATGCAATTAAAAGCTTTTTACATCCATCAAAATGAATGATTTTTGCTGTATGATAATTAAAATTGTTATTAAATTGCACTTTTGTAGTCTGTAATCTGTTTACACAAACAATAGTCTAATATAATCTATTTTGAGTAATTTGTATACTGTTTGGTTGGAGTCTGTTATTTTATTTCATTTTAAAAAAATCTTTTTGAAATGAAAAAATGACTAGCTTTATTCAATTCATTTTTTGCTCTTATTTTTTAATTTTTGTTTATATTTCCTGAAAGAAATAAAAAGGGGGAAATATACTTCTAATTTTTTATTTCAAACTATATTTTAAAATAGCAGAAATAGCAGAATGGAGAAGTACAAATGTGGATGCACTGGTATACGCCATTGTCTACTTTGCACTGGAATTAGAGATAATGATTTTATTCAAAATTCAGTAAAAGATATTTGCTGGCTCTGTCCTGAATGTGAAGTAGTATTTGAAGGAAATGTTAATGAAATATTGTTAAAAGATAATATAAATTGGTGTTCTTTGCACTTGCAGCATAATATATCTAACTTACATATAGATAAAGTTATTATTATAAATAACTTTGTTTCAGAAACTGAAGAAAGTTATTTGCTTACGGAAATAAATAAGGATCCTTGGAAAATGTCACAGTCTGGTAGAAGAAAACAGGTATTGTAATAATTATTTTTCTTTTTAGATGTTAATCTAAGAATCATGTTATTCAGCCTATTGATCAGAATAATTCTTTTTTTTTGCTTATATGCATTTTATTGTTTATTGTGTTTTAGTTTTTTTTAAAGTAATACTTTATTGGCTTTTTACAAATTGTATGCTTTTTAATCAACAATAGTATAAATAATTAGTAAAATTTTTATACCATGGAGGGATAGATACAGTAAAAGGATGCAAATTTGCTGAATGACAAGCCAAGCAAGAATGAGTTTGGTTGATTGAACTAACGATGATAGCTTGTTTGAGCAACGACCATGATTGTATTTGTATAATAAAGAAAGAGATGTAACCTTACAATGATGGAAGAGTGGCTCAAGCTAGTAAGTGACAGGGTTGATATTCGACTGGGGCCGGGGCCAGGGCCTGGTTGGATAGATTTATACATCCTAAAATATGTTATATTTTTATATAAATGCATATATAAATATCATTATGATCAACATGATCATCATAATCATCATTATTATCATCATCATGATCATGATGATGATCATCATGATCATGATCACCATCATCAACAGCATAAAAGAGGAAGGCTAAAGCCTGATGGCCCCATGATGATGATGATCATCATCATCATCATCATTATCATCATCATCATTATGATCATCATCATCATCATCAATAATATATCTCTAATATAAACAATCTAGAGCTTTCTTTTTTTCTTAACTAAAGCTTATTCATACAATATGTAAGGCACTCTTTTCAAGTTTTCTTACTTCTACCAATACCATTTTCTACTGAAGCTGCTACCTCTCTACATCCTGATACCTAAATTACTTTATTCTTTTCAAACAAATGTTGTTTGATAGAACGTTTTTTCTAATCTGTCTAAGTTTATGCATCTTTTTCTTGTCTTACTAGAGTCTCACCACACATCCATTTGATCATCTTTTTTTTTTGGCACTACACCATATAAATACTAAATTTTGTATAACAATGTAAGGATATTGTATGCCAGCATCTAAATAAATAGCAAATATATATGTTTATATACATAATATGTATGCATAAAGTGGATCTTGGAAGCTTTTATTCCTTCTGGAATAAAAGTTTGGAAGCTTTTATTACTTCTCTTTAATTTTAAGTCAAGCCTCATTTTACTCCACATTTTTCACCATCTTGAGCAGTTGCTTTATTAAACAATCATTTTTTTCATCTTTTTTTACAAGAACATCTCTCTTACAGGGTTATTCATTCTTATATGCGCATTTATTCATTTTTATATGCGCCTTTATTCATTCTTATATGCGCATTTATTCATTTTTATGTGGTTTACAAAATTAATTGTAAAAAAGCAATTTGAACAAAAAAAAATCATTTAATAAAATCATTGATAAAACAGTTTATTATTTCAAAGCAAATTTTTCTTATTTCCTGGTAAACGAGTTTAAAAATACTTATAAGACGAAGACTTTTTACATTCGATGATGGTTTATTTAACTTAGTATTAGTTTTTAGTTTAATTTTATTACATTATATTAAATTGTATTATTGTATTAAATTTCTTGATTGATTAAGTTATTTTTTATCTAATTGTTTATTTTTCTAGATTTATTGTTTAATTATTTAAAATTATTAATATCAAATTTTTACCCTATGGATGGAATAGAAAATAATCGTAAAACAAGGAAAAATGTTACAAAAGAGCACATTGAAATGCTTAAACATTTAGTTGAAAGAAATCAATCTACAATAAGCATTTCCACTTCTCTTAATTTATCGAAGCCCGCAGTTCAAAATCTTGTCGTTAAGTTAAACAGAGGAGAATTGGACGACATGACTGCATTCAAGTCGTCTTCTGATAAAAAACGAGGTGAAAGACCTATAAACGCTCAAATAAAAAATATTATCAAATTATGCGTACAAGAAAACAATCTTTGCACGCAAGAAGCAATAAAAGAAAATCTTTCTGCAGCAGGCTTCAACATGTCTTCAACTATTTCAAGAAAACTCAAACGCTCGGATTTATCAAGAAAACGTGTTGTTCATGTGCCAGAAGAACGAAATTCAACACGAATTATTAATGCACGCTATGCATTTGCAAGCGAAATTAACGGAATTTCAGATGAAAAACTTATTTATTTGGATGAAACTGGATGTGCACACTAACAACACATATGGTTATTCGCTAAGAGGTGCGCCAGCAATTTTACAGTCGCCTGCAAATCGTGGCAAGAATGTTAGTTTAATTTGTGCTGTTTTAACAATGGGAGTGCTTGCTTATGAAACAAAAACTGGAGGCTGGAATGCAGATTCATTTTGTACTTTCATAACTACAATGATGGCACCAGCGATTAGGAATGCAAATGTGGAAGCGCCGGTGCCTCTCATGGTATAGCTTTTAAGTATCTGCCAGCATACACGCCACAGCTTAATCCAATAGAAGAATTTTTTTTTTCTTTAAAACATACTTACAAACAGGGAGAAAGGCCTCGAAATACGGATGAGGTAATCAGGAAACTTAAAAATATTATGGATACTACAGAGTTTAATATAGTTCCATTTTACAACCATATGCGTAGTTATATAAATCAACCATTTCTTAAATAAATAACAATGAAAACAACCTAATTTATATTTTAAATATGTCTATATAAAAATTTAAAAGCGTATTTATCGTTTATATTAAATTATATTAGAGATTTTATGGGTGGTTGACGCATATACAAACATAGGGATGTATAATTTAATATTAATAATAATTATAAATAAGTAGATTTAAATCGAGATAAATGAATAATTAGATAAATAATAACTTAATCAATCAAGAAATTTAATAATAAAATTACAAAGAACTAATACTAAATTAAATAAACCATTGTCGAATTTAAAAAGTTTTAAGTATTTTTAACCTCGTTTACCTGGAAATAAGAATTTTTTCAAAACAAATTGCTTGAATGATTTTTTTTGTTCAAATTGCTTTTTTACAATTGCTTTTGTAAAACGCATATAAGAATGAATAAAGGCGCATATAAAAATGAATAAATCCGCATATAAGAATGAATAAAGGCGCATATAAAAATGAATAGACGTGCATATAAAAATGAATAACCCTGTAAGAACAAATTTCTTTTTATTATTGCACAAAGCCAATGTAAAAAAGTCCTGTCTAATGTTAAGCTCTGTTATTCTCATTTTACTAAATCTTGTATCTTATCTCAGATGTTAGGTTCTAGAGACTTTTGGTTAGCAATGTCATTAGCTAAAGTAAGTTTAACATTTAATCTTATTTGTTAAAGTAAGTTTAACATTTAAAAAAGTTTAACATTTAATCTTTATTTGTTAAAGTAAGTTTAACATTTAAAATTCATTGGTGTGATCTTTTTACTCAGAATAAATCATTCTCCCCAGAATAAAGCAGAGTTATTTGCAAATAAATTTTACTTTAATTTGACTCTTGAATATAATGGCCATACTCTTCCTGCCAGTTAAAAAGATTAACCCATTGATAAACATCAAAATCACTCTGGTTTCCAATGCTAAAGTTAATTCTCAATTAAACACTTCTACAGTTTGTGCTCCAGAATAGATTGCCTGTTCTAAAAAACAAGATGTGTTCATAAAATGTTAAGGCTGAAGCTTGATGGTGATGATGATGATGTTTTTATATAAATATACATGTATATATACAGAGCCTATTCTAAGAAAAAAATTTGGTTGGCGATACCCCCTCGTTCTGGCAAACTTTAAGCGGAAAATCAGTGGTTTTTTTTGCAAAAATAACAATATTTGCCATAAAAAACATTAAAAAGGTCCTTGAATTTTAATTTGGGCAGTGCCCAATATGGTCAACGCTGTCAAAAACGGTCTAGAATAGCCCCTGATATATATATATATATATATATATATATATATATATATATATATATATATATATATATATATATATATATATATATATATATATATATAAGCATGAATTTTGAATTTAAAAGTATACTTTAGGATGTATCGATGTTTATGCAGCCCGGGTCACAAACCGGGATCAGGGGCCAGGTTTGTGACTTATGTATAAACATTATGAGTAAAATAGTTGTTAAGGTTTGTGGCAGGGGTTGCATAAACATTGTTTTATAAGTAAAATAGTTTTTGAATTAGTAAAATAAATTTTAAATTTTATGAGTAAAGTAGTTTTTAAATGATTTTGTTGCTTTTTTGGAAATATTTTATTTTTGGAGTTAACAAAACAAAACAACACAAGCTTCTTTAGATATTATATAAAAATTGCTATATTATATTTATACTATATAACATATAAATAAGCACATTTTTTGAAAATATTAAATTTTTAGAATATTTTTTGTAATATTTTTTTGATTACTTTTGTTAACAAAAACTAAGTTTACTTTTGAATCATGCATCAAAGTTGTCAATCCTTCCAAATCTAAATTTATCTTCCTGGTGCTAAGTATATTTGCTGTATAGACTTGTTCTTTTTAGTATATTTGTATATTTATATACAAATATACTATATATTTATATAGTTATATACAAATATACTATATATTTATATAGTTATATACAAATATACTATATATTTATATAGTTATATACAAATATACTAAATATTTATATATTAAATATATAATATATATTTGTATATGTATCTAAGTATATTTGCTGTATAGACTTGTTCTTTTTAGTAAGTGTTAGTCTATATACTTGAAAAGATCTGAAAGTTTATAAACAAATTATAGTTTTTCTTGATAAATGTCAAAAAAGTATAAAATAAACAATTTCAGAATGCAGGTATTAAAATGTATTGATAGAATTTTTATAATGAAAAGTTTTTGATAACATTTTGATATACGTTATGTTACATTACTTTTACTAAAGATAGTAATTTTTTGATTGTTGAGAACAAACACAGTGGTGTTCTAAAAATATTAATACTGAAACTAATAACATATTTTTATTTCTGGTAAATTTATTTGCTGTTGCATGAACAAGCAATTATTTCTTTAAACTCTTTGGATAAAAGCAATTTTTTTTTTTAAGGAAAAAATTAGTGAAATTGGAAAATGTTTTGTTGCAAAAATTAAAACTCTAAATTTAATTAAAGAATTTCATGGTCATGAATATTTTACATTCACCTTTTTTTGTTTACCTTAATGACAACAAATTTCAAAATTAGAATTTTAAATATACATGAAGTACTTAGTAATTTAAATTTTAAACACACAAATAAAGAAAATACTTAAAATGTGGAAATATTGCTAGATACTCTTTTTTGATTAACTAATAATTGATTTCAAGAAAATAATTTCAAGAAAAAAAGTCACCTTTAATATTTTTTTACTACTAATATATTTATTATTTTTTTGATGTAAATTATTATAATAACAAAATTTATAATGATTTATAACATTTAAGATTAAAAGATGATTAATACTATTTTTACAAAAATTTTGAAATTCAATTTCAAGTTTTCAAATTTCTATTATTTTTTACCACCTTGTTTTCTTGCTTACATTGGTTGGAGTTAGGGTACATTTTTTACTACTTAAATGCAGTGGAAGGTACAACGGTATTGTAGAGAATATAGGGTGTTATAGAAAATATAAGGGTATTATGAATGATACAGGGGTATTATGGAAAATGAGGTGGTATTTTTTGGCAGATCATAAAAATAAGTATTTTTATTAGTATTCTTGTATAAATGGTATTTATTTACAAACCTAAATATAAATTGTACACATAATTATTTATTAAATCGAATGAAAAAGTAAAAGGGAAATAAAAAAATAAATAAAGTAATTTTTTATTAAGTTTATTTATTCACAGGATTTTGGTCCAAAGGTAAATTTCAAACGGAAAAAGTTAAAGACAGCCGTGTTTACTGGTTTTCCTGGTTACTCAAAGTTTGTTGTTGAAAAAATGAGACAAGTTGAGTCTTTAAAAGATTTTTTTCCGGTAGAATTATGTAATTTAGAATACAGTCCTGAGCGTGGTTCATCTATAGATCCTCACATTGATGATACTTGGTTGTGGGGAGAACAATTAGTAACATTAAATTTAAATTCAGCAACAATTTTAACTTTGACATCAACACTTTTTCAACAAGAAATTCAAATCCCCATGATGCCACGATCATTAGTTATCATTGAAAAGAATGCAAGATATAATTGGATGCATGGCATTAAATCTTCAGATATTACAGATTTAAGAGTTGCAATGACATTTCGTAATTTGAGCCAACCATTTGTTAAAGATAACATTGGCCAGCAGATATTACACATAGCAAAGTCATTTCAAGGAACAGTTGTAGCATGAAATCATAAAAAATATTTAAAAATTAATTATTTAAATAATTTATAATTTACATTTTTGCAATTAGTTTTTAAAATTTATATTATTCCCTCAAATAAAGTTTTCCCTTTAAAATCATTGACATATATTTTTTTAAATAAATTTGTAAATTTGTTTTTTTTTTTCAAGTGTGAAAGTGATCTCCAAGTTAAGAAACACAACTTGTCTTCAGTTGTGTTTCTTAAAGAAACACAACTTGTCTTCAGTTGTATTTCTTAAAGAAACACAACTTGTCTTCAGTTGTGTTTCTTAAAGAAACACAAATAAGTTTTGAGCTATGTAAACTTACCAAGACAAATTGTTTATTTTGTTATTAAAAAAAAGATTTTTTTTGCCTGTTTTGTGTTAATGCCATCATATTTCTTTTCATCATTTTCATCATGTTTCTGTTTTTAAGCCTACTATGCTTTTTATTCAGTTTTTTCTTTTTTTTCTCTATTAAACTCTTTGGTATCTTGGAAACTTGAATTAGGTAAAAATGCTAAATAAAAAAACTTTTTTTATGTAATAACTTTTTAAAAATAATTAAAAGTTACTAAAATAAAACTAGGTTTAGTAAAATAAATTTTACTTTATTAAGTATTATTAAGTTGTAAACAAGTTTAACAACTCTTACTTAAAAATTATGAAAATAAAATAAAGCAAAATACGCCCTACAAAAGTTATTAAAAACAAAATTACAAGTAATAATAAAAATTATGAATTTTACAAAGTCTGTTGTTGATTGTTTGGTTAAGCAAGTTAATTCTTATATGTAGTTGTAGTTGTAAAAACTTGTAATCAATTTAACATTATCACTTTACTTAATGCTAACATTAGTTTTTTTTTGTACTTCACAAAAATCTATTTACTAGAATTACTTTTCTAACAACTTATCAAGATAAAATTTTACTTAAAATTATTGAAGTTTTAAAATACATCTGTTTCAAGGTCAAGAAATGTCTAGAGCAAAAATGGGAGTTTGATGGGGATAGTAGGATCCATGTTTTTTTGGTACATGATTTATTTAATTTTTAGTAAACTTCAGAATTTTATGTATTCATATTTAAGTCATATAAGGATGTTTTGCCAAAATTGTGCTGATTAGAGTCTTGGAAAACAAAGTACCCTAAAATCTAGGTATTACCAGACTTTGGGGGGGGGGATGTAGGTATCACCAGCAGGGCAAAAAATGTTTACAATTTGTTTATTCAGTGCATTTTTTAAATTTTTTAAGTATATATATATATATAACAAGCTTGATATATATATATATATATATATATATATATATATATATATATATATATATATATATATATATATATATATATATATATATATATATATATATTAGTACTTATATTTTTGACATTTTTGAATCTTAACTTTTGAATACTGCAGAAAATGTAAAAAAATTTTTGCTGTTTTTTTGTTGTCTTTGTTTTCCCTTAGTAGACATTGCTAGTCAAAAACTTAAACCCTCAGTTGATGTATGTACTGAAGCCCCTATATACCTCTATTTTCTTTTGCCAAACTTGTTGTTTTAATGTAATGTTGTTTTAATGTGTTTCAGGTCAACCCTACTTTCCATTCATACAATTTAGATACTTATTGTAATTTAAAAACATTAACACAAAACAAATTACTTTTTGATTATTTATAATAAATTAACAATTTATATTACTAATTTTATATTTTATAAAATTGTTAATATGCCCAAGCTAATGTTTGTATATAGACAATTGATGATGTTATATAGGTTATATGGATGAAACTTTATAAATGTATGTAAATAATGTATGACAGTTTTATTTAGTTATTACTTTACACTTTTGAATGTAGTAGTAAAGTTTAATATATAGTGCTTAATATAATTATATAAACATACTAATATATTCCAAATGGCAAGTTACAATACACAAGATGTTAAAAAAATAGAACTTTCCTACAAGCCAGCCCTGCAGACCCACCATCATCAGCCATTGCATTACTCTTCCCCTGCTCAAGTTGCTGCTCCAATACAAACTCAGCAGCAAGGTATACAATTTTGTTATTTTTGTTAGATTGCTTTATTGCTTTATTTTAAATTAGCGTAACCCATCGTGTTGTAAATATTTGTATTTATTAAATATTTTGTGTTGTAAATTTTAAAAAAATTTTATGTTAATTTGCCTCGCCAAGACCGAGAATTACAGTAGCCTCAACTGTAGAGGTCTACAGTCAAAGCTGCTGTAATTGTGGATACAACCCTTTCTCAAATCTATAATTCCGCAACACAAACTTTGACAAACAAGGTTGCTGTGCAGAGAAACAAGTTAATCACTGTACTACCAGGGGGGGGGGGGGTGGAGATTAAACACAGAACTTCTTGCTTATCAGGCAAGCACTCCACCACTAGCTTAAGTATTTGAAGTATAAAGGATTGTGGGTTATGTGCTTGTCGAGCTTTCTCATGTATTATGCCTTTATAGTAAATATAGTTTAAAAGCAATGGAAGTAAAAACAGTAAAGTAAAAATAGTAAATTTTGTTTTATTTACCAAAAGTCATTCTTGTGTGATTTGTTATTAAAAACAGGAAGTAAAAATAGTAAATCTTGTTTTATCTACCAAAAGTCATTCTTGTGTGATTTGTTATTTAGTTAAGTTTTAAAAAAAGAAGTAGGGTTAGCTTTAACAGTTTCAGATCATATAAAAATATAATAAGCTTTTATTTGTTGTTAAATTATTTGTTTTATTATTTATATAACTATAATATTATAAAGTAAATATCAAAATAATCAATATCATCCTATGTATTATGTTTTCTTAATTTGTGTAATTTTTTTTTAGTTTCTCGTAACATTGTTAATAATTCTCCACAGTTTTCGCATCAAAGCAAATATGGTGAACTCTTGAATGTTATTGAAGATCTTGGAAGAGAAATTAAACCTACTTATGCTGGGAGTAAAATGGCTCAAGAAAGACTGAAAAAAGGTAAATATAGAATTGATTAAAACAGTTTGTAAAAAATAGAATTTTTTAGAAAATCTTTTTTTAAATGATGTAGGAATAATGCATGCAAGAACACTTGTACGGGAGTGTTTGGCTGAAGTTGACAAAAGTGCTAGACAATGAAAAAAACACTTTGGTTTTAAAAGTTTGATGTTTTTGACTAGAATTGTGTTACGGTGATTGAGCTGCAATTTAAAGATGGTTTGAATTGACTTTCTAGATAAACAACAACAGAAAATACTGTTTCCTAATTTAAAAGTAAAACAATATCAATTTTTTTTCAATTATTTATTTACATACTTACTATATACTTCTGTAATACATATATTATAAGGTTTAGTAATACAGCTATAGTAATTATATTCAACATACTAGTGAAAATTTATATTTAATATACTAGTGAAAATTTATATTTATCATACTAGTGGAAACTTGTATTCAATATACTAGTGAAATATTTTATATTTAAGTATATGAAGTGAAAAGTTCTATCAGTATTGTGCAAAGTTTAAATACCTCAAATAATTGTTTAAAAAATTTGTTTAAAAAATTTGTTTGAAAAATTTTCCTTATTTTGATTTATGTTAAAGATTTTCTAATTTTAATCTGATTTATCCTATGCTTTTTTTTTATTTTATGTTTTTAAATTTAGTTTGAGAGATTGCTTGTATATGGTAGTAATTGCTTGTATATTATTGTAACTACCATATACAAGATTATTTATCAAACATTTGTAGTAGTATAACACAATTGCGTGAAGGTGTTATTGTTGTTGTGTTTATTTACCTTTTTGTTTATTATTATGCATTTTATTAATATTTTAGCTTTAATTTTTTTTGTAGTTGTTTTCATAATAATGCTTTAAATATTTTGATCATGGTGCTCCACCATCGTGGAGTTTTTTCTTACATTTATGGAAGCATTGTTGACTACATGTCAGCAAAACCCCCTATGGCCGTTATGATGATTTTTGTTGCTGCTTTGTCATTGAGTATTTTTTCACTTTCATGGTATATTACATCAAATGACATGGTTGATGTTACTACAACCAAGGTTATTATTATTTTTTTAAAGTTATCCTATGTCTTTGTTCTTCTTGTTTTTTATGTTAACTTACACATTAAACTTTTTATTTAACTTTTTCTGAAACTTTTTTATACTAATTTTTTTTTTATTAATTTGTTAGTTGTTTAATGGCATGCTGAACAATTTTGCGGATTTAACATTTTGTCTTGTAAATTCAACAGAAATATCAAATCCTATTTTTGAACAAGAAACAGTTGATATTGCATTAAATCTAAAAGCAATTATTAGCGGAATTTCCATAAGTAATTTCTCTAAAATGGAAAGCACTGTTCAAACTTTTTTGTTGCTTCCATTAGGTATCAAATGATTTGTATTTTTAAGACATTAATGTAGTTTTTTTTAAACTTATATATTCTTTTATGTTTTATGTTATTAAAATTATTTCAATTAAATTAATTTTAGATCATGATTTTCATAGTATTGGTGTGAAAGCTTTTTTTGAAGAAAAATATATTGGTAATTTTTTGAAATTTAATATTTTGGTAATATTTTGAAATCCAATGTTTTGGTAATTTCTTCTGTTAAGCAATATTTTGTTTATTTCTTCTCTTAAAACATTTTGACACCATTGTTATTAAATACGATATTTAAAAAAAACTTTTGAAGAATATCAAGATTACTTTATTATTTTTGAAGTGTTTTCTTATTTACACTTAATAGCAAGTTTTTTAAAAATATATATTTAAATGTATTAAATATATTTTAAAGGGGTATCCAGATTTGTTGATTTGTTAAAAAAACAAAAGAATTAAATAAATTAAACTTTAAATAAACTTTTAAGTATTATATTTTTGCTTCTGATTCTTCTTGATCAACTTGAACTCTTCTGAGGGTATTTTGGATACAATTTCTGTAATTTGTTTTTTTAAGCTTTGAATATCTTCGTGATAAGTCAGGTACAGATTTTGCTAAAAAGCTAAAAATAACAAGGTACCAGGTTTGGCAAATACAGTGAATGGTTAATTATTGTGATGTCCTTCCTGTTTAGCTACTCTAGGATAACTTTTGCAACATGAAGTTTTGCTTTGTCATAAAAAAAAAATTGTTTGATGTTGGTTGTTGCTTTTTGGTTGCAGAAACAACAGGTTTGAGACATTCATCAACAAGCAAAACAAAAGGTTTGAGACATTCCTTAACAAGCACTGTTTGAGCATTTATGTTTTTGTCCTTATCAAGAAAGCGGAAGTTTTCTTGGGGATTCTCCAACATCCACCTATAAACCCGAAATGATTGTTTGCAGCAAACTTGTTTCAAGTAGGTCTAGGATTTGTTGCCCAAATAAAGTCTTCATTTACTTTCATTGAATTTTGGTAAAAAACTGCTTTTTGAATTATTTTAGGCTGATGGTGAACCTAACATGATTCAAGTTTTAAAATATAAAAATGGTTATGAATGATTTTTTCTATGGGACCATAGGACAATGATGCTTGGGCTTCAAGTTGATCCATATATTGTTGAATAGTCACTTTGTGGCTTTGTGGCATTATGGATGGTCATGGCTTTCAAAGTCATGAATGTTGTACTTAAATTTACTGCTTCATCACTAAACAGACAAAGGAGCTTTGTCTGGATATGCTAAAGTCAATTTGTTATTGATGTCTGTTACTGACTTTACCAGTTACAAATTTACTTTACAAATCAAAATCTATGCTTGATAAGCAGATTTAAAAAAAATTGTTTAAAACAAAGAAAACAATGCTTGTTTTGTGCCTAATCAAAAGTTATGATTTAGTGCTTCAAAATATTTTTTTAATAAAAAAATTTTTTTTTTTAAAAAAATACTTCTGTTGTTATACATATGGTGGTTTACTGTCAGAAATTTATCCTTAGCTAGATTTTTTATTGTCTAACTAATGTCTTTAACAAATATTTTTATGTAGCTAGTTTATGTAGTTTAGTCTATAAGATAACATTTGGCAGTCAACTATAGTATTAAAATACTACAGTAACTTTCCAACTCCTTTTCATGTAAAATAATTAGTGAGAATTTTGTTATTTTTCTTATTTTCTAGTCAAGTTGCTCTAGCAAAAAAAATTGATAATATTTTTTAAGAACATTTTTCTTTTTTAGGCATGCAAAGAAATAACACAGTTAATACATGTGTTATTTTATCATTAAGAAAAAGTATGCTAACAGAACAAATGTGAGTTTTGTAGTATTTTGTTTCATCATAATCATTGTTTATTGTATATTTCGTTATCTATTAGCAAAAAAAGTAAGATAAACCTCAAAAAGATCAAGGTCGGGCAAATATTGTCTCATTTTTCTTCATTCCGAGTGTTAATACATAAATGATAAATAGGAAAGTACCATGCGTAGAGGGGATAACTAGTGTTAAAATTCTTTATTACTTCATGCCAAAAGATGATACACACTTGGAACTGTTCTTACATTCTAGATACCACAGAACAAAATTAATTTTTTTTTTTTTTTTTTTTTTTTTTTTGCAATATGTTGCAGAGTACAATACATCATTAAATATACATACAATACATGTTGCTGTAGCAACATGTATTGTATGTAAATATATATACAATAGATGTTGCTATAACATCAATTTTAGATATGACATCAATGACTTTGACGTCATTGATGTCATATCTAAAATTGATGTCATCGTATCTAGCTTATAAACTAAACATTTTTTTTATTTGAGCCTTTAATTTTTTTTATTTATTTTTCTTTTGATTATCTTTACAATATGAGAATATTAATATAATAGTAGAAAAATATATTTTAAAATCTCTTGTTAAAATGTTTAAATGTTGAAATACATTGTTCTATTTAAAGAATTGCTAATAAAGATTGGCAAATTTTTAAAAAAATTTAAGATCTTATCTCCCTACAAGCAAAAATTTGAAACTTTAAAAAATTGCATTTTTTGATTTGTTTTTGTGGTTCAATGCGAAAAATCTTCCTTAAAATGAATTTTAGTTGAAAAGCTTTATTTTACTGCAAATAACAGAAGCAATATTATATGGCACTGCTACCACAATGCTACTGCTAACTTTTGCAAGTAATTATCTTTGAGTATGTCAAATTTTTTTATCTAAATTGGCTAGGGTTACAGTTAGGTTGTAGTTTTTTTATTAGGCTTTTTAAGCATTTATTCTGTTTTAAACTGCTTTAAAAGTGAATAAAGAAAATGTTTTCATAGAGTTAAAAAAAAAAATTATGTCTATTAAAACTGACATACTTTCTATGTTAGATTATTTAAAAACAATATTGTTTTTTAATGTTACATTTTTCAGTGGTTATAAGCTATTATTAAAAAATAGCATTTATTGTCTTATCTGTTTATTTTTTCACTATTCTCTGCATACTCATTTATCTTGTATATTTTTTTTATCTCTGGCTAGTTATTTTTTAATTACTCTAAGCCTGTTTTATGTGATAGCTATTGTCTCTACTTATCATGCAAGGCTTATATTTCTCATACTATTGGAGTTACCACATTTTATACCATACTTTTTACTAACTACTTTTGTACTAACCACAAATCATCTTAACTTAATTTCGATGTTTATGAGTGGTATTTACTTATTATATTTGTAAGACATATTACAGCCATAAAAGAAACAGTAAGTTACTCTTAATTACTATTTTCTTTGTGTTATTTCTATACATATAAGTTATTTATTTTAATACATGTGCATACATGCATGTGTACATGTTTGTCTCGTGTAAGTGTACATGATATTTATATGTATTTACATATTTGTCACACCACGCACATCCCTCACTACCCTCAGGAGATGTCTAAGAATGTTGGAGCTGTATTAAAAACTGAGAAAGGAACTGGGATTTTTGGCTTTTGTAGTGTAGTCCTATTATATTGCAATATTGACTAGCATGACATAGAGTGCAGGGGGTGAGATCTGTTGGAAGGACATGCCCCTGACAAGTGGCACTAGTGCAGGTCTCGGGCTCTCTGAAATGTCATTGGTGATCGCAGTGCATTCCTTAGGAGGGGGATTACCATTCATCCACTACTTAATTCTAATTGGTTATTATGGCACCAACATTTGGTGACATAATAACCAATTGACCTCTTACAAAAATATATAAATGTTGTTAATGAATTTGTTACATTAACGACATTTATATATTTTTATGTTACACAGGTGATTATCAGTTTTCAATTTATTGTCTAGAGTTTAGACCATAAATAGTCCCACATTTAATAGCCTATTTTTTCTTTTTATATTGCCCGAACTATCATCTATTATCATTTTACTATTTTGTTGTCTACTTATTTTATTTTTTTTGTATGGTGCGATTATTGTAGTAATGGTTTCCATTAATAAACCAGCAGATTTATATTGACTTATTTACTCATAGATCATTGTCTTATCATTTGCTAAGGATGACTAATGTGTGAGTTATGGTTCTCGTCTTCCTGAATTGCTAAATTTTATTCCTCTAACTAAACAGTCTTTACATTCATTTATGTTTTTTACCTAAATGACATTATCTACAATCTGATTCTATTATCACATCTGTCAAGTCTATGTAACTGGACAGCTCCGTTGGTCACTTTTTGCGATCTTTGTGTCACATAAACAATTAATAGAACATTAATGATTGGGAAAATGAGATGGTCACTGATTTTCACTTCAAACATGTCTTTAGCTTACCTTAATGGACTGAAAGAATTCTATATTTATAGAAATCTTACTTTATACTGGACCAGAAGGAGGTACAAAGAAAATGGTTTTATACTAATAAAGTTGTGTTATTTAGAAATGAATACTAGCTGAAATTGATATTAAAGAAACTTTATTAAATTATTGAATGTCTAAAGAACAACTTATCCTTATGCCTTATTCAACCCAACATGCAACCCAGCATGACTTTAACCTTTGTTGTTCTCAACATTAATTCTCTTGCTGTTAACCATTTTAATTTTATTATCCCCACCCCACTTAGCCTCATCCCCCCTCATTGTGGGGTTGTATTTTGCTCTCTATCTTTTTATAACATGTATACAATAAAAACATTCAACTTTTTTCTCCTCGCAGACTGCTGCAATGAGAAACTAGTTGAGCGCAGTACTACCAGAGACATGGTGGGTATCATATTTGGAGCTTCCTACTTACAAAGCTAAAAGTGCTACTACACTACTATTACATATTTTTGTTTTTTAATTTTTCGGTAATAATTTTGTTTTTAATTTATAAATTACAATAATTTTATAAATATACAAATATTGCTTAAAACTATTGCTATAGGCCACTATATCTTTGCAAACCACCAACAAATGTTTTAAGAAGTGATCAAAATGAAATAATCAAAATGCAACCTCAGTTTCATGGGAAGAGAATGCAGAAGCGTTACCAGTGTGCTTCAGAGTTACAGATGAATTTTCTATTGGATAAAAATGGAAAATATGATATTTACTTAAACCTTGTATGTATTTATCAATTGATTTTTTAAAAAATAAATATCTTAAACTTTCAAATAGGTATGACTTACCTAGTTTGTTTATAAATCAAAAATTTAATATAACTTTTATTCAAAGAAATAACATATTTATTGAAGCTTTATTTCTGCTATCTAAAAACTTATCTTTTATAACAGAAAACTTATTGAAGTTAGTATTTGCTGATGATAAAAATTTTAAGTATTAGTGAAAAATAATTAAATTATGTGTCTTTATTATAACTGAAAGTGAAAAAAAAAAGTGAAAAATAATTAAATTATGTGTCTTTATTATAACTGATCTAAATCTAATTTCACTTTTTTTTACATTTACATTTTAAAATTCTTTAAATGTTAAAATTTTACACATATCTCAAAATTTTTACTTTCAGCAAACACATTTTCTATATCTTTATATTTATGTTAATTTTCTGTTCTCTGAAATAACACCACTTTTACTCTGAATATTTAAATCTTTCATGTTTATTCATATCCTGCATATCTTTCATGTTTATTCATATCCTGCATATCTTTCATGTTTATTCATATCCTGCATATCTTTCATGTTTATTCATATCCTGCATATCTTTCATGTTTATTCATATCCTGCATATCTTTCATGTTTATTCATATCCTGCATATCTTTCATGTTTATTCATATCCTGCATATCTTTCATGTTTATTCATATCCTGCATATCTTTCATGTTTATTCATATCCTGCATATCTTTCATGTTTATTCATATCCTGCATATCTTTCATGTTTATTCATATCCTGCATATCTTTCATGTTTATTCATATCCTGCATATCTTTCATGTTTATTCATATCCTGCATATCTTTCATGTTTATTCATATCCTGCATATCTTTCATGTTTATTCATATCCTGCATATCTTTCATGTTTATTCATATCCTGCATATCTTTCATGTTTATTCATGCATATCTTTAAAGTTTTTTAATTATCTTAAAAAGTTACAGCTTATTAACAATGTTTTTCAATATTACTTTAAATATCACTATGTTTGTTGTGGTTTGTTTTTTAATATTATTTTAAATTTTCCATGTTTGTTGTCTTTATTGTTCTTAGTTCATTGTTTTTAATAAAGACTTTAAATCTCCATACTCATGTTTGTTTTTCTTTGTTTTTTAATATTACTTTAAATATCCATACTTTTGTTTATTGTTCTTTGTTGTTTAATATTAGTTTAAATATCCTCGTGTTCTTTTTTCTCAGTGTTCTTAATAGGGACTAAAATACAATGAGAATTCTATAAAAGTTCTTTAATTGAGGTCACCATTGAGAATTGGTCCGTTCTTTATTTATTATAATTTTTTTTTTTAGTGGGAAAAGTCAAAACTGATTTCAAGACTTCAAACAGGAAGTTTAATATTTTTAGCCATCTTTTTTTCTGGGTTATTATACATTATCTTTAAAGGAAGAAAGGTTTGTTTAGATTTTATTTTTGCATATTCAATTCTTGAGTGAGATTTTACACGAAACTGACTCATTCAATTTCATAAAGTACTCTACATCTTTTTTTACTTGTATAAAAAATCTCACTCCCTTTTCCTTATGCAGCCATTTTAAAAATGGCTTTAAAATTTGGTTTTTCCTAATTTATTAACTTTGAGATCTTTTATATTTTATCAGATATTAAACTGTTTTCATTTTTTTGGTATTTTTTTATTATTACTTATTTTTAGATTGTAGAAAATTAAAAGAAAAATTTTGAAGTTTTTTTTCTGAAGCTTGAAGTTTGTAAAGTTTGTATTCTTTATACTGATAATATTTATATGTTTTAAATATATTATGAATATATAAGTTAATATATATTTATTGCAATACAAAATCTCTCTTTTTTTTTTTTTACTTTCTCATTGTCTGGTTTTTTCTTGCTTCTATTTTAAATAATTTTTTATAATACAAATGTTGTGAGTTCTATTTCCCTTTTAACACATAGAATACAAATTAACACATAGAATACAAATTAATAGAGTATACAGTAGTTAAATAGAAATTCTTCTAATTATTTCTATAGAAATATAAACTCAAATTTTGCTATAGAAATTTTGTTGATAAAAAAAGTCCTGTTTATAGAATTTCTACAAATGTTTTGTGTTTTAAAACACTGTTCATGTATCCATTGTGTCTCAAAATTTTGTTTATGTATCCTCTGTGTTTCAAAACATTGTCCATATATGCTCTGTTTACAAAACACTGTTTATATATCCTCTACGTTTCAAAACATTGTTCATGTATGCTCTTTTTACAAAACACTTTTTACTGCTCTCTGTTTCAAAATGTATAACAAAACAATTTTTATTATTTTAGTTTAGTTATTTTTTTGGTTTTTAATAAGTTGGGGCTTATATTAGTGTCATTTTAGTATGATTTTTCTTAGTAGTTGAATTTAAAAAACTTATTAGTTACAGTTTCAAGTTCAACTTAGTCGCTGAATTTTCAAATTAAAATAATTAAAAAAATGTTTAAAAAAAAAAAAATGTCAAAAAATGTCAAATATGAAATAAAATTAAATAAAAACAACTATTTTAATTAAGATTTTATTTTTTGAATTAATAGTTCATAAATAAAAATAATTCATAAATAGTTTGAACTCTTTCAAATAACAAAATATTACAAAACATTTGCTCCAACCCAAACATTATTGAACATCATGGTTTTGAGATTGAGTTGTCAATCTTTTTTTTAATTTAAATTTGACTGTTGTAGCAATAGATAATGGAACTTAAACAATTTTAAAATGGCTGAGATTTTTGTAGCTAGAATTTCATTAAAACTAGCTTGGAGTCTTTTTGCTCCAGCAGGAGCTTCTAGATTAGAGCAAGGAGATGTTACAGAAGAAAAAATACGACAGATGTTGCTAAACGAATTTCAAAAGATAAATGAACACCTAAATGCTTTGAGAAGAAAAGAACTTGTTGCTGCAATTGGATTATTAGAAACAGGTTTTAAATTTATAAATATTCATTTGTGTGATTTTATCTTTGGTTAATTTCTAGTAACTAAGTATTTTTATTTATTGTTTTATTATATTTTGTAAATATTGAAAGTCTTAGATATATCTGTTTCATTCACAGGCAGTGACTATACTTGCAAATTGCTTGGAGAACATTTTTTTTCTGTAAAGTTGATAAGACTAATAAAATTCATTATATTAGTCAAATTTCCTTTCATTATTTTAGTTTACATTAATTTTCTTTTGTTGGGCAAAATCTTTGCATGTTGTAGAAATGAAACTGTTTTTGTGGCACATCTGATGTGTCAAAACTGTTATTTATAAGTTCTTTTTCTTGTGTGACTTCTATCCTAAAACACTATCATTATCTGAATGACAAATCATTAAGGGACAGATACAGTAAAATGACAAAGCTATCCGAATGAAAAATCTTTGAGTTTTGATTGAAAGAACAAAAGATAATGGTAGTATTTTTCTCTTCATCCAAAATTTCTTCTAGGGAATCATTTTCACCATTGTGGTCTTTAAACATTGACCAATAATTTATTTTTTGTATCCATTTTAGATATACACATTTTTATGTATCAACTGTAAATAAATACAAAATACATAGACTAAAACAGTATTTCAAACAGAAAAAAACTTTTGTTTTAAAAAAAAATCTAAAATCTGGTTGTGACTGCAACAGTAAGAATTCTAAAGCATCAATGTGACAGGGAACTAGATAAAAATAAGTTTTTAGTGCATGAAGGGACAGAAACAGTGAAAGGACATGACTTGGCCAAATGACAAATCATGCTTTGAGTTTTGATTGATAGAACAAAATATAATGGTAGTATTTTTTGAAACCATGATAGCATTTGTCGAAAAAAGAAAGAGATGCAATATTACAACATTAGGTGATTTAAGCATAAGGTTTAACTAGAGCAGGTCCAATTACATTTACAATACATTTTTGGACCATGCCTAGAAAAGAAAAGACATTATTAGAAGAATCAGTCCGTAGAAGTAGAAGATAGAATTGAGAGAAAGGAAGGGCGAGCACAATGAAGAGAGTTCATATATATACAGCAACCTTAGCAGATGCTAACTTTGCTGTATATATATGCTGTCACTCAAGGAAGATCACACTCAAGTTCAGCTGCCTGCTCGCGATCAAAAACTTATTTCAATTAATAATCAAGACTAGAGTATATAATTGTGTCAATTACTTTAAATTAAACACTTTAAATTTAAGAAAGTCAAGAAGATCATTACTATAGAAATGAAACAATACAAGTTACTGAAAATGAAGAAAAATATTAGCCTTCAAGGATGACTTCAATACTGCAGTTAAAAAGGATTGGTTTAATAATTTTATAAACTTCCTCATCCACCATATGAAACAAGTTTATGGAGAGGTCCAGTATTTCAGACTTTATTGAAAGTCTTTTATATGTCAAGAGTAATAGCCTTTGTTTCACTGCTTCCATCTCATTCACAATATTTTAACGTATTAGTTTAACAAATGTATTTTCATTAAAAAAATAAACAGGAATGACTTTAGTATAAAAAAGGTAGGGGATAGAATGAAATAATTATGAAAATGGTTATTCTTAAATTATTTAGCAAGTTAACTTTTTGCAAATATTTTTTGATGTTGTAGAGAATCTTTTTGATTCTCTATAACATTTGATGATATTTAATTCTAATACAAAATAAATTTTTGGTGAATTTTTAAAATTTTGGTCGTAATGAAAATTTTTTGCAATAGAGCTTAAAATGTTACCTTGTAAAGCTTTTTACACTGATCAAGAATCCTTTTTTTAAATTAAATATACTACTTCTAGTAAAAAGCTATGAGTTAATAATGGATACAGTGAACCAGGGTTATATGAAATATGCTTATTATTACATTTAAATAAATGGAGCTTTTATGAATTAATCGTATTTAAACCGACCAATAAATCTCTATAAATTCTTCATATAAATTTTAAATCGATTATTACTATTTAAATGTAAAACATGCTTAAAAGAAAATCTGTATACTGAAGAGCAAATTGCATGTACACAATTTGCTCTTTTTTGTATGTAATAAAAAATTAAAACACCATTATCTCAACTTGAGTTTTGTCATCTTAACCACCAGAATCTAAGTCAGTGCCACCACAACTACCACCTCTATAACTATACTATCTCAGCCCCAGCCTTCTGAATCATTCAACAATCTGCTTTTTTTATTTAATTGTTCTTATAATTACCTATCGATTTGTTCCCATTCCCCCTAATGTTAGGGTAGAAATAGTTTATTTTTCAATTAAATAAAGTTTCTTGAAAATTTAAAAAAAAAAAAAATTTTTATGCATATTTTAACACACACTTTAAAATTCCTTACAACTTAAAAAAATTTGCTACCGCTTTTTTGCTGAACGATTATTTGTTAAATGAATAAAACTATACTGCATATTTGTTAAACCAGGAGGAGGCTGTGAATCTAAAATATCTTAAAAACTTAACATAAAACATCTAACAGATAAAGGACAAAAACTTATGATGGTACCTTAATGTGCAACAAGTGGTTGTTTGACAGTGGTTGGGTAAAAAAATAAGTTTTTTTGTTTTTCTTCTAGGTGATTAAAATTTACCTGGCATCACTGAAGTGTTGATATTTCAGGCGTTTATTGACCTTTCAATTATAATCACTTGTTTTTCTTATGTCTTACTTTCATAACCTAACACTTATCTCCTTATTCAGGTGTTGAGCAGAACAAAAATAAATCTTTACTACTAAATATAAAGAAACAAATTTGTTAAGTAAATATTTTAATGTCAATTTAATTTAATAGTTATTAAATATATACTAATTTAAACTGGTATTAAATTAAATAGATAATTATAAAAGGTACTTCGTAAACTTTTTAATTAAAAAAATAAGTTATATAAAAGATGATTTCATATAAATCATTCTCATGATTTGGAAAATATATTATTAAAATTTTAAAATATTATGTTTTTTAAGCTGAAATGAGAGATAAAAATTTGATGATATTTGTTTACTAAATTAACAAGGTTGTAAGTATATAAATAATTATGTATTTACAGAATTTGGCGTCAATTGAATAATATGATACATTCCAAATCCAAGCTCTGTTGATAACCCCTTTAAAGATGTTTCTAAATCTAATTTTGTGGTGCTACTTTTACTTCATATCTATGAGTAAATGAGTAAGAAAAAGGTACATAAGCTATTTGGCCGCCCACATTGTAAAACAAGAAATAGCATATTTTAAACGTAAATGCAGGTCATAATTGAGTTCATAACAGCCACATAAAAGAAAATCTTAAAAACGTCAAAAAAAAAAAACTTTTGATTGTTTCTTTTAACTTTTATTTTTTTCTGATTTAGAAAAAGTTTTCCGTACATGCAAGTTTAAATATATTTTTGCAATATGTTTGTTTTTAAACTTTTTCAATCATTACTCATACAATAAATAAAAAAGTTTCTATTAAATTCCGGTTTTTTCTATATGCCTTTTCATTGTGGTTATTACTGTGAGCTTTTATTTTGTCAAGATTTTTAATTTAATTTTTAAATTATTATTTGATACTTTTAAAATTATAAACACGACACTTTCTTGAACTTAAATAGTAGTTTGTATATTTTGTGATTTTGATTTATGTTAACAAACATTGGTGTTTTTGACTAATTTTTTTTTTAAATGGTTTTGAAAAATACAAAAAATCTAATTTAAAAAATATATGTTTAAGGCGTGGAGCTGTTTCAAAAAGATAATATCACTTCTTTACAAGAGTTTCACAAGTGTAGAGAGCATGCGCAAATGGCATTTGGAGTTGTAGCAGATGTCAGCGACAAAATTTTAGCAACAAAAATTTTGGTTGTGGCGACTCTTCACGAATTTCATGACAACTTGTTAACTGCTAAAAGTTTGTGTTTAAAGTATTTAGAACGAGTGAATTCGCTACCCGAAGTTGCAAGATCTTGCGAGCTTGTTTTTTCGCCGCAAAGCAATTTTTCAAGTAAAATTTTATGTCTGAGTGGAAAATCAAAGCGAGATAATTTGTTAAATGAAGTTGCAGAAATTAATATGACAGTTTATAATCATTTAAACGAATCCAATCAGCAATTAGTTCCGTCAGCAATTAGCTTTGGTAAATATCACATCAATCCTTTAACTGATATGATTTTATACAGATTACCAAAAGTAGTTACCGAACTTCCTGAAGAATTAACCGAATTTATTTCAGTGTGTTATTCTGAACCTTATATTTTTGCTTCGCTTAGTCAAAATGATTCACTAAATAATGATGTTGTTGCAATAAATTGTCGAACTGGAAACATTAGGCACCTATTTGGGCACGAAAAATCCGTTATGTCGGTGTGTGCGAACGAAAAATATCTTTTTTCTGCGTCATTTGATAAAAATATAGTTGTTTGGGATATTGCATCCCTGGATCCTGTTAAAATATTAAGTGGACACGAAGGTTGTGTTAAATCTGTTTGTTTAACCGCGGAGTGGTTATTTTCTGGATCAACTGATGGCACAGTTAGAATATGGAGTCTTGAAACTTTTTCTTGTGAACACATTTTAAATGTTGCGAAGCCAGTCATAAAACTTGTTTGTTCTAGAAGAAAGTTTTTATTTTCCTTATGTGGCTTAAATGAAGTTCAAATTTGGGATTCTATACAACTAAAGCTGTTACATTCGTTTAGTGCTCCTGGAATGCCTTATAGTATAGTTGCAAATGACAACTATTTGTACATTCTAACATCTTCTCCATCAGAAACAACCGTCCAGTGTTGGAACCTTGGATCGTTAACTTTAAATCTGAGTTTTGCTGTTAGTACTAACTTTGTAAAATGCTGCGATACGCCATATTTTTTTTGCGGTGATAAAACTATTCGAATGAGTAGCAGTGCCAGCGGCAAACTAATAATCGAACAAGAAGTTGTATTGGCTGGAAATGTTGCAGATAAAATTAAAACTATGTGGATGAATTCTCATGAGTTATTTGTTTTATGCCGAATGCAAAATAAACAACAATTTATTGTTAAATATTGATTTATTATTTGATTAGTGGTGATATTTTTCATTTCATTAAAAAGATAGGATCTTTGGATAGTTGAATTGGAACAGCTCGGATGTCCAGTTTAAATGTTTTTTTAATGTTTAAATTTTTAGTGTTTTTAAATTCTAAGAGCTGCAAATTTTATTTGACTAAATATTTATTGTATGTTGACATACAATTGCACACGCAATGCAATAATGATAACACACAGTTGTGTGTTTCAATATTGGATTGTGTGTGCAATTAAAAAAAAAAATTATTAAATGTGTACTATCTTTTTATATAATTTATATTAATTTTGATATTTTAATATTTAAAAAAAATTAAATACATCATTTACGATGACATTATTTATTTAACTTATTAAAAAATTTTAATTTTGAATGTTTTATTTCGAATCAAATAAGTGGAGCCATTTTCAAGCTAAAAAACAATGTCATTTCTGCGTAAGTTTTTTATATTTAACAAAAAAAGATTTCCAATGGTGAGTCATCATTAAGTCGTTATTATCTCGGTTTAAAATCTTATTTTTAGAGTAGCAACAATTCAATAGACTCACGGATTTTTCTAGTGTAATTCTTTGCGATGACCGAAAGTGTTAGGGGATTATTCCAGATTATTGTTCCTTTGCAATATTGTGCAGACGCTTTCCAGTTTGCTTCGGTCACATTTTTTTGATGCTCAGCTATTCGAGAAAAGTGCTCTACCAATTAACATCTGAAAGTTGAAGGTACGTGCATGCCCTACGTTAAAAATAAGCCTTTAATAAAGAGATGCTTAGGTTCCATTTCAACCCACAGTTAGCCTAAAATGTGCGGTAGGAGCCCGTGTCACCCGATCAATAATGAAAATTTTTGAAAATGGAACCTGAGTTCTATTTAATATTTATTTTCGTCACAGATAATAGAGCTGACTAATTTTATTTTAGTCAGCTCTATTGTTCAATGCTGATATCAGCATTTAACAATGTTACCATGATAGCATTGCTTTTTATTTTTATCAGTTTAAAGGAGCGTGCTTACATGCTTTTCTATTTTTCGCAATGTTAGAATTATCTTGTTTTTCGCTTTTCGAAAAAATCGCGTTATTGATTGTGTTTTGTGCCTCAGAATGATAATTTTCTACTCAATTAAAACTTAAAAGAGTTGAGGAAAAAACATAAATAATAAAAAAAAAACATTCATATGCCGTTTCCTGAGTTTTTTAAATAATTTTTATTTCATAACTCAAAAATGCGTAGATAGATCAAGGCAATTCAAACCTCGCGAAATGCTGCCGGCAAATAACCATTTTTAGGCAGTTTAGCTATTTGATAAATTGTTAAAAGTCGTTCAGGATGATTTTTCAACCAATTTTCGACCTCCTGTGCTAGATTCTTACATCAAAAAAAATGATTTATGCTTTTCTTGTAGTGATTGCAATAAATCAAAAAACATTCCAACGCTGACTTGATTAAAGTTCTGTGATTTTGCTGTAAAAATTGCAGTGGTGACTACTCAAATTTGAAAATAAAATTTTTTGACTTTTCCATAACTTTTCATAAATTTCCTGTGGTAAAATATCCAGTCCCATGCGCTTAGTTTTTACCACTTTGATGACGTTTCCATAACCAGTGGCCACCTTGAATGGCTCTGTTATTCTTGCATAATTTTAGTTGTCGAGCCAAAAATCCTCAAAGCCAGTTGACACCAGTTTTTTTTTTTTTTGAATTAAACCTTTTATGAGATTATTATGTTGTTATGAGATTAAATTTAGCAAACTGGTCAGCAAACTACGCAAAACTTTAGATGTTTAATATGAGTTACAGAACATATTCCATTTCAACAGAAAACACACATTTCACTGATCCAACTGACTTCAACGACGCTTGTACAGAGTTTAAATTATGTCTGTACCTTCTTTATTATTTTTTTCCATTTATTTTTTTAATTTATATTTCGTCATTAAAAAATAATCTTTTACAAAGTTTTTACAACAAAAATATAACATTAAAGTTTCGACCAGAGCTGGCAAAAGACATGGTCTTATCATCCAGCACTGACTATACAAAGTACCGTAATACATTAAACTGATTGCATGCTTTTTTAAATTCTTTTTTTCTTTCTGGCTTACAGCCTCAATAGCTACTTACATAGACGTCTTACTCCAACGCTTCTTTTTCTCAAGTATTTATTTTTCCAAAATAAAATAATAATAAAAAAACTCTTTTTTGAGTGGAGAAGGACTCTATTAAAATAATAATAAAAGATAAGACCTCTCATTCACTGAGGCTGGCATTGAGACGCATTTAAAATAATATATCATAGTAAGAAAAACATTTTCGTAGCTTCTTGTTGCAAACCTCTAGTGCACTAAAAAAAAAGCAGAAAATAAAAACCAAAAAGTTCAAAAAAACTAGATAATTCAATTTTATTGCCACTAGTGACGATAAGATTGAATTTTCTAACTATTTGAACCACTTTTTTGAAAAAAATATTAATAAAAAAGGTTATTTTGTATAGGAGACGTAAACATAGATTGTTTGAAACAATATGGACTCGAAAACACAAATTTTTTTTTTAACAGTTTATTTCAGTTCGGAAAGTTCTCATTAAAAATTGAACACATTCGTGTCACTACAAAAAACGTTTGGCGGTGAAAAATTGTGGTGAATTTAAATTCGTCTACATGTTTTAAGTTTCATTTAATTACTTTTTAACTTTGAAAAATTATGACTATGTGAAATTTCTTTCTCAACGATTTCCTCAAATTGAGGGGTAGTAAGTTTCATATGATCATAACTTTTGAACACTAAGATTGTTAAATAAAATTTAAAATCAATAAATAACAATAAATAATAATTTCAACAATAAATAAAAATTTTATATAATATGTTAAAACATATATTTTATTAACTTCCCTCACATTAAAAGGAAGCAAACCTTTTGTGACATTTTTTTCCCAGTCAAAAATATTGTAACATAAACTCAATTCCTGAAAATATCATATATGGGAAGTGGGGCATAACCACCCCCGTAACGTTTGGATTGATGTTATATGAAAATAAAAGCGAAATGTGTGTCTTTTAAACAGTTTATTTCAATAACCACCTTATTAAGCATTAAATTGCTGCAATTAGGAAAAAAATTAAAACGGTTTTTTGAAAACGTTATTACACAAAAAGTACACTTAGTGAAAAAAACGGTTTTGCCTACATTGTGAGGCACAACCGTACCCTCACAAAAATCGTTTAAAGTTGATTTATACTCTAAGCTTTATATTTTAATCAAAAAATCATTTATAAAAACTAAAAAAAAAACGAAATCTAATTTCCATCATCCCAAAACAAAACTATTTCTATTCAAGTTTTTACACGAGCGCATTCATGTGCAACGATTGTATCTATTGTTACTCGTAATTATCTAACTTTGATAATTAAAAGTATGTAGCTGTGCCTTCTATGAGTCTATGCGGTTCTGTCCCAGAGGAGAGTATACAGTGGCGGATTAAGACTTCTTGAGGCCCGGGGCTATTTTTGTTTTTGGAGGCCTTTTTATATGCCAGAGCCTAAAAATGACTAAAAAAAAAAAAAGGTCTCTAAAATTTTTAGGGGGCCCCTAAATTTGCGGGGCCCGGGGCTATAGCCCGCCCTAATACCACCCATCCCACTTGATCCGGCACTGAGAATATATATATATATATATATATATATATATATATATATATATATATATATATATATATATATATATATATATATATATATATATATATATATATAAACCCCATTTAATTAAAACACATAAGTCAACTAATTTAGAATTTTTGGCTGAGATGTATATATATATATATATATATATATATATATATATATATTATATATATATATATATATATATATATATATATATATATATATATATACATCTCAGCCAAAAATTCTAAATTAGTTGACTTATGTGTTTTAATTAAATGGGGTTTATATATATATATATATATATATATATATATATATATATATATATATATATATATATATATATATATATATATATATATATATATATATATATATATATATATATATATATATATATATATATATATATGTATATATATATATATATATATATATATATATATATATATATATATATATATATATATATATATATATATATATATATCAACATTATATGATAAAACTTTTTTTAGGACTGTGAAATTATAAGCTTCACTTATCACTTTTTTAAAACTAGCTAGTTTACTTTTTTGCTTTTTTGTTGTTTTAGAGAGGTTCATTTCTTCAGAGAGATCTGTTTTTGGAAGATACAAAGTTATCGCCTGTGAATTAATCTCATTATCGAACAAACTGAATTTCCCAGTGATAACAGAAAGCTCAGTTTCAAAAAAAGTTGAAAATTTATTGAATAAATACCAGATATCAGAAGGCACAGATAATCAGTGTCAGCTATTATAATAAAATATTTTTTGACAAAAAAAAAAAGTTGAAAGTAATCGAAAAGTAGGATATGCTACTTCAAAAATTGTTCCAGCTCATCCATCTAAATGTATCAAAAATAAAGTAACTGTTGTCAGCCATGCATCATGTAGAAATCACTGACTCTGACTCTAGTAACAGTGAAAGAGAGACTGACGATGATTTTTTCCCATCTATTAACAATATTAGCATCATCTACCTAAAAGAAAAAAAAACTTTAACTGTTTCAATTGTGTCTTTGGTAAAAAATGTAAAGCTAAGTACACACCAGAGCAAAAAAGTCATTAATTCATTCATCAGATGTCAGAAGAAAGTAATAATATTGCAACTCCAACACAGGCAAGTATTTAAAAATCAGTTATGCAAAAAGCTGATAAAGTCAAAGAAGAATTTAAAAAAATCTTCAGTCTTTCATTTTGATGGCAAGAAGAGTAGACAGAAAGAAATGCTAGTTGTAGTTTTAAAAAACAGTTGAAATAAAGTTGGCAGCCTTGCTTTATGGCAAAGCCAAAAAATAGCAGAAAAATCCAGAGGGTTTTTGCCATCCTCTAAAAAGCATCCTCTGCTATTTTTAGAGGATGGCCAAGCCAAAAAATAGCAATAAAAT